TTTAAATCGATTATTTTATTCTTTGCAATCAAATTAAATAAGTAATTTAAAATTAAAATTTTAATTTATATAAAAAAAAATTGGGCCCCAGACTTTTGGGCCCAAGTCTGGGCAACGACGTCTCCTACACGGAGATCGTCAGAAAACTCCATTTCCGGCGATCTCCAACCCCCAAATTGAGCCCAAGACACATTTCATCCATTAATAATTGATTTTACAATAATTTCTTCGAAAATAAACATAATAATCAACAAATCTTATATTCCATGCTTTTTAATTCGGTTAAATACAATCATCATCATAAAAAATACATATTATTGTTTCCAATACTCACCTTCTTCAACTGAAAATGGTGATCTCGGTGTCCGGGTCGTCCGTCCGGGTCGGAGGAAATGGTGGGGTCGTCTGGGTGAAAATCCTCTCTCTCACTCTTCCAACAAAGTTACAAGGGTAAAATTGGGAAAGTAATGTTCTTTCCTTGTTTTTTTTTTTTAACTTGGTCAACGACTAGTTTGCAAAAATGGGCAGGTCATCCGAGCATTTGACACCATTTCCTCCTGATTACAGACGGGGTGTCTCTCTCGTGAAATTGGGCTGTAGGGGTGCTTCTCCATTCTGAAATCAATTTAGCTTGATATTGGGCTACTTTAATTGAAAACGGGCTACAATATTGAGATTGAGCTAACATATTGAATTTTTTTAAGCTGCCTTATTTTGATGAGAGGCTATATACTACTTATTTTTTTTGGGCTGACTGACCTAATTTTTGGGCCTCAGTTTGGGCACCTATTTTTATTCGAAAGTATAATTTATTTTTAGCTTGAAAAAAAGAAGGTGTGAAAAAGGAAAAAAAATATTTTCTAACTTTTTTTAGGTATATTTTTGACCTGTTGGTTGGCTCGGTACTTCGACGATCTTGTTGATTGGTTCGTTTATTTCGACGAATTTGTTGATTGTCTCGGCTACTTCAACGAACAAAGGGGAGTTTCCGTTTTATTTATCATTGATTTATATTACTGTTTATTTTTAAAATTACATCAATTAGTTTTTTTGTGCTGTTATTATTCTAATTTTACCTAAAGTTCACGTGACCGAATCCCTTGATTTGTTAAATTCCCACAAGTTTACTTAAAGTTCACGTGACCGAATCCTTTGACTTGTTAAATTCTCATTGTACCCCACTTATTTTACGAGATCGAATTTTTGACTAGTATTTGACGACTGTTTTGTTATTTTACATGTATTAGGAGTATTAACTTGTTGTATTTGGCTTCATTTAATCCCAAAATTTCAAATAAAAAAATGTTCAAGTTATTATTTTCTGTTGCTTGCACTTATTGTTCATTGATCTCTTCATTGCACGTCATTTAGTTGCTAATACAGTACATGTAGTTGCGTAGTGGTAGTCTTGTCACTTCTAGTTTCAGTACTTTAACTATGGACCCATCACAATTTGATGCACTCACCCGACAAATAGCAGCTATTCAAATCCAAATGGCTGCTACTCTTGAAGAGATTAGGGGCCTAGCTGCTAGTCTGAACAATGTTAAGCAGATCCTTCGTTCCACTAATGTTGATAGTTTTGAAGTGTCTTATAATAGATAATATTGTTGACAAAGTGATTAAAAATATTTTTGACACAATCATAAGGATGGAGATTGGGTTCGTGAGCGAGAACGATGCTATGACCGTCATAGTACCCATTTCCTTCCACGTCATAAGGAGCGTTTCTTTAGAAACAATAAAGTAGACGTGAGAGAAAATAGAAGTTTCTACTAATCAGAAATTGATAAACGA